TGTAGTGGTTGTAGGAAAAAAAATCCCATATTCTCCAGAAATCCTTTCTTGATTATTACTTATATGCACTTGCTAATTCATTTCTAATGCAGGTTTAAATGGAATCGGTATTTTATATACTTAGTATTTATTTTATTTAGCTAGTTGGCAGTTCTCTGGATAGATTTTAGGAACTTTCACAATTAGCAGTGTGAATGAATGTATAGATGCTTTGCTTATTCTTGGTTAGTTGAATTTATAAATAGAGAACAAACAAGATAGCAGAAACTCAAACCTCCAAAAGTGGTTGCTTAGAGCTTAGAAGTCATTTTTACATTCTAGACGCTACACTTACTTGCTGAAGCATAAAATCACACCTGATCCACATAAGTTGTCTTCTACTAAGATCATATCAGAATTGTTAGGAGGATTTGGAAAACAATTTTCACTCATACTGACCACAAGTTCTTGGTGTTTCCAAGGAGAGAAATACCAAGTTATCAGGATATGTGTAGTCTGTACAGACTTGATCAGTGACTCAGACTGATGACCTTACAATCATTTAAAAAATGTTTTCTTCAAGTATGTGATGGCAAATTCCTCAGTCAATTCAAATGCAGCAGTGATGGACCAATGTCAGAGTGATGTCATTCCCTCCATCCCCCAACCCCACTGGAGAACAAGATGCTTATAACATTGCATCCTATTTGTTTTCCCTGGACTTTACCCATACCACATTTTTTTTTCATCCTGTCTCTTCCTTCAGTCCTCCAAAGCTTCCCCTGTGCAATTGTTTCCTTGGATTCACCTCTACCTGGAATAAGAAAGTGGAAAATTTCTTAATTTTAGGCTATCTGTACTCATATTTTCTCCAGTATCTTCTACCAAGCAATAAACAACCATAAGCATTTATTAAAAGACAAGCTTATGCTCACTGTAAGGAATGAAAATAAAACACACACTCCTACCTTTTAAAGGAGAAGAATCACCTACCAGTTTCTTAAAATCAATAACTATTTGGGAGACAG